GGGCTTGTCGAGGTACATCGCACCATCTCGTCAATACGTGCGTTGCACATGCTTTCCAAGGTCATGGCTAAGACAAAGGGCTTCCGGTGTCACGTTACTTCTGTGCTTGGGCTTGCGCTCCCGGGTATCGACGCCAACGACCTGGAAAAGACTGTGCATACTTTGCAATACGTCCAAGGCGTGTGCTACCTCATTCCATTCCAGGACCTCACCAAGGCGCGGAAGGCGTCGGATGAGACAGCTCGAGATGGAGCAAGTACACCGGATGATGCTGGCGGTAACACAGGGCTTGCTTTGGAATGGATCACAGCACAAGTCGAGCGATTAGAAAGCGCCAACGGGAACATTGAGATCAACTACGACGAGGAGCTCAGTGACGAGGATGAGGCAATGATCTTACGGTCATCCACGACTGGTCTCAACGAATTCCTGATTACATTCCTTGGTCGCGTGTTCACGCTCCTGGAAAACTTGCCCGATGCGTCTAGAGTTCGCAGTGGCTCTCCTGAAGAGTATGTGGTTAACCAGCTGCCAGCTGCTTTCACGCCGCTGCTTGCAGCACTCTCTCCCGAGCTGTACGATGTTGCCCTTGATAAGATCGCAAACTTCATCACGAACCATGTCGTTCACCAAGCCAAAGATGCCATCGCATTCATTTGCAACAGTCTTGTCAAGATCAACCCTGAAAAGGCACTGAAGCGTCTGTTGCCACATCTCCTGGCAGGCATCCGTACTGAGATTGATGAGATTGGCGCTGGATCGACGCGAACAACAGGCGCCGAGGTACTTCCCCGCGATCGTGCTCTTGTTTGGAACCTTTGCATTCTTAGCATGTGTGTTGTCCATGTTGGTGACGCAGTTCTTGAGTGGAAAGACGAGCTCTTCGAGATTGCAGAATACATGCAGCAGAAGTGCCGCGGTACGCCCACCGTGCATGTTTCCAACTTCATTCATCACTTGCTACTTAACCTTACTTGCACCTACACCATCGACTACTCGATCTACGAGCAAGATGAGCTTACACAAGGCTTGTCGACAGAGTCGTGGGGTAGACAGGTCGATATTAAGAAGCTGAACATCAAGTGGCACACTCCGAGCTCCGACGAGATTGACTTCGCCGTCAAGCTTTTCGAGACTCACGCCAACAACTCGATGAAGGCACTCAAAGCCCTGACGCAACCAGACTCGCCGATCAAGCGCGAAGGCACTGGCAAAGATTGGTCCGACGAGGTTTCTCGGAATCTTGTCCTGTTGCGCTTGATCATCTCCGGTATCTCCGTCTTGTTTGATGTTCGGCATGATCAGGCTGCTGATGGCGCCACCGAGTCTGATGATGACTCTGACGCTGATGCGATGGACACAGAAGGCATCGATGACGATGCTGGCCTAGGAGAAGCTGAAGATGAAGAGGTCAAGCCTACTTTCCAGTACGAAGCCGGCTACCCTTTGCGTCGTGGTGATGACAACTACAACCTCATTCACGATCTTCGCGAACAGGTTGGCCAGATGCTACACAACGTACATCAGTTCTTGATCGAGAAGCAGCCTGACGACGTGCCGTGCTTCAACTCTTTGTACAACGCCTATCGGTCGTGGTTCATCGATGTTGGCATCGAGCGATCCGCTCATGTGCTTGATAGAATCTCTAGGTTACTAGAGAACGACGAGCGGCCTTTCCGGTTCAGTGGACTCCGAAAGCAATACCCACGACCTCTACTAGTGCGCCGCGCAAACGTTTATCATCTGCAGCGTTTACGGCACAATGCTAACCCACGACCCAAGACTGATCTCGACATGATCTTGCTGCTTGATCTCGCCGAATCCAGTATCTCAGTCTACACAGAGATCCGGCGCACTGCACAGACAGCCAATGAGTCAGCCGTTAAGTGCGTGCTGGGTGCTAGGCCTCTTGTCATTCCTCCTCTACTGGATGCTTTCGTCAAGGCTGTTGCCGAGAGTGACTACCCTCGGATTAAGGGTGCGATGTTCACTCTTCTGTTCGGTAGCCTGGCGAAGACCATCAGCCGCGACTGGCGATTTACGCCTAAGCTCATCAAAGCGTTCATCGAGGTTACCGGTGCCGACAAGCCTTCGGTGCAGAAGCTAGCAACTAACGCTACTTTCCAAATCATGGACATGGGTAAGGCAATGGAGCGCATGGTTATCCTCCCGAAGGAGGTTGTGGAAGCGATCGCATACGCTATCGACTCTAGTGAGGGCGATGGTGTACATACCAAAGTCAACAAGCGTCGGGACTATATCAAGAAGAAGCGCGCTCGCATCGAAGGCAAGAAGGCTGAACTGTCCAAGGAGCTTGTCGATATTGCCAAGACCGAGCACTGGAAGAAGGTCAGTCGGACTGCAGCCATCATTGTCAACCTGGGAATGCGTTACGACAGCATTGCCTCTGACGAGATGATTGATCTCGTGGCGAAAGGATCCATCGACCAACACCCTAGTCTTCGTGGTCTCTATGCTGGAGCGCTTATCGGCTTATACTCCGTGATCCAGACCCGTGCGATCACTGGACATAACTACGAAAAGTACTTGCTCAGCGAAGAAGAGCTGCCGGATAAGATCTCGGTACCGACTAAGCCAGAGGACCCAAACTGGACCGAGGAGTACCTCGCTTCATTTGCGCAGCCAGAAGCCAAGTACTACGTCGACTTTGATTATCCTGGCTGGCTTGTGTGGAACAAGAGCATGACCGCGTTCAAGCCCAATGCGCCCCAGCTATCGTATGATGAGGTCGAGAATGGCATCCGCCAAAAGATCGCCAAGCATCTTACTCGATCCTGGTTCTCCAACTACTTTGCCTTCATGAAGCAAGAGCCTCGTGACAACAGCGCCGACAGGTTCCGCATGTCAAGCGCGATGGTTTTGACTCACTCATTCGACCTAGTCTTCGGCGGGTTGACCGAGGCGACGTTCGAAGACATCAAGGATTTGACCCAGTCTGTCTATGCTGACGGAAGCGACAAGCATCAGCACCGTGCCACCGCTGAGATCATGGCCGCACTGCTCTCATGCGCCCCAGATCTGAAGGCAGACCAGCGCGAAGCCGTATGGGAATACGTCTTCCCTATCGTTCGTGGCATCTTCCAAGACGGACTGACACCAGAGAACTCCGGTTACTGGACCACTTTCCTACATGTTGTGTTGCAGTCGAAGGATCCACGCCGAGGATGGCCGCTGGTCGACTGGCTAGCTAGCTTCCGCCTTGACATGGAGTCCAACGCCGCCTTCAAAGAGAGCTCCAAAGTCCACTTGCTGACGCAATGTATCTGCGATGCGGGCTGGCACTTCCGTCTAGAGAAGCCGATCTTGGAAGACTTCATGAAGCATCTCGACCATCCGTACAAGGGCGTGCGAGAAGCCATGGGTCAGACCATCGCGAGTATCTTTAGGACACGTTACCACGAATCGTACAAGGATGTCGACACGCTGATGAAGGCGCAAAAGGACGCCTCGTCGATCGGCGAACGCCCCTACCAGCCTACTGAAGAGTTCACTAAGACGATCACCGAGGTCTTTGATCGCCTTGAGGTCTGGCGCGGGGAGCGTCCGGCAGGTCAACAGACACCTTCGTCGTACACGTCAGGTGGCAAGACTGTTCTTCTCTGGCTCGACTCTACGCTCTCCTCGTACGAGTGTACCTCGCTCGTTAGGTTCTTCCCCGATATGTTCATGGAGCAGCTGCTACACATGATGGACATCAAGGAGGACCCTGAATTGCAGTCGCTCGCTTACCACGTCTTCCGCCACCTGCCCAACATCCCGCATCGCCAAGGTGAGGACTCAGACTTCATCTCTGCTCTCATTCGCATCGGACGCAACGCAACGAGCTGGCATCAGCGTCTTAGAATCCTCATCAACATCCAAGTGATCTACTTCCGCCGACTCTTCCTCATGAGCGAGGAGCAGCAACAGAGCATGTTTGACTGCGTCTCCGCCATGCTGTCAGACACACAACTCGAAGTACGAATGGGTGCTGCCACCACGCTATCAGGCATGATTCGTTGCTCGCCAATTGCATTCCGCGACCGCCAAGTTTCCACACTCAAGGAACGATTTACCAAGCAGCTCAACAAAAACCCATTACCAAAGAAGCGCAACCCAGGAACGCCGACAACAGAGCAAGGGAAGCTCGTCCTGACGCGCCACGCAGCTGTGCTGGGTCTTGGTGCGCTTATCCAAGCTTTCCCATACCAGAGCCCCCCGCCAGCTTGGTTGCCCGATGTACTTGCTACACTGGCTAGGAAGGCTGCGGCTGATCCTGGCATGGTTGGCAAGAGTGTCAAGACTGTTCTAGCAGACTTCAAGAAGACTAGGCAGGATACTTGGCATGTTGATGTGAAGGTAAATTTCTACTCTGATATGATCGTGAACTGTGCTAATCATTACTCAGGCGTTCGAACAAGAGCAGCTGGAAGATCTGGAGGGTGTGCTGTGGAAGAGCTACTTTGCTTAAACGACAGCTATGCGGCGAATGGGATATTACGAACGACGCTCAATGAAACCATAAGCGATGGACATGTACAATAAGTTAGATCGGACGGGTCATGACTACGAGCGATATGAACAGGCTCTGCATCAGTGGCGCCTAGTGGAAATAGCATTTTCTAGATAGTCTCTTGCTTACACAATGAACCTTTTTGCTCAGCACGCTTACTCAGTCGCGACCCGACGCGCGCTCCTTCCTGCTTAAAGCCGTCTGCCCCTCCCCCGCTCCGCTGTACCTGCGCCTGCACATGTGACATCATACCCTGGACCTTCCGACCATCAACAATAAAATCACCGCTCGTTGCGCGACGCATGAACAGCACTCATTCTCCGGCACTACCCCATCATCGAATCTACAATGCCATTGACTGTACTTACTGACGCGGATGTGCGCACTCTCTTATTGCAATTGACCAAACAAGACATTCTCGACTTGCAGCAGAACCTCGCTGATGCGCTGCACCATTACTCTACCAGCACGGAAGAAGACGATAACAATGGATGTTGTGAGAGTTTTCAGTCTGCAGGCACGAGTGTGAAGACTAAAGATGGAGGGATGATGACGGTTGCGCCGGCGAGCAGGTATGTATAGTTCTTGCAAATACAAATGCATCGACTGACTGTACGCAGCAACGATGGCCTCGGAGTCAAAATAACAACACGTCCAGAGTCCAACTCTTCAGACACAGCCTCCGTTACTTCGTCGATGAGCTCGCTCGCCTTATCCCAACAGTCCACGCCAACGAGTAAAAGCTCAGCAACCACAGCCTCTCTCTCATCAAGCCAGACATCCGCATCAAATACTAGTCTCACGCTCTTCGACCGCTCCGGAAACCCTCGCGCCATGCTGAACTCATCTGAAATGACAGCCTTCCGCACCGCCCTCGCAAGCACAATGCTCTTTAAGAAACGAGCAAATGTCCACGACGTAACAGTCTTCGGCGCAGGGAAACAAGCTTACTGGCACATCCGTCTTGCGCTCCTGCTACGCGGACCGGATATCCATCATCTCAATATCATAAATCGGGATTTCGAACGCGTACATCAGTTATTGGAGAAACTATACGATCCCGACTCCGCTCCTTCGACGTTCAACCCAGATCCAAACCACGTGCCAACCTACCGCCGCGCATCAGGCCCAGAGAAAAGCAAAGCAACAGGAAAAGAAACCCAACACCAATACCTCCACCGCCCCAAAATCCAAATCCTCACCCCCGGCCACGGCGAATACCCGCGCCTCCTGCACGCCACCCTCCGCTCCTCCTCCGTCCTATTCCTCTGCACCGCCTCGCCCACCCCCCTCTTCCCCGCGCCCATCCTAACGAACCCCGAAGGCCGAAAAAAAGGCCGCTACATAGCCGCCATCGGCTCCCTCTCGTCCCTCGCCACAGAACTACACCCAGACATCCTACGCCAAAACGTCGCGCCCGAGCACGGCCACCGCCATTTCCACAAGCACGCAAAGCAGAGTGGGGCAGTGGTGGTGGATAGTGTGGAGAAGGCTTTGAAAGAGGGTGGGGAGGTGGTGCAGGCGGGGTTGGGTCCGGATCAGGTTGTTGAAATTGGGGAGTTGGTTATGTTGAAGAGGGATGCGGAGAGGAGGAGACGGGAGTGCTTGGCTGGGAAAGGGTTGATGGAGGCGGAGGGGCTGGATACGGGGGGTGTGGAGTTTGGCGAGTGCGAGATGAATCGGAGGGAGAAGACGGAGAAGGCTAGGAGAGGGAGTAGTGGGAAGAAGGAGAAACATCATGAAGGAGAGGACAAGGCGCATAAGAGCTTGATTGAGTGGTTGGTCAAGGGGAATGTGATTTATAAGAGTGTGGGACTGGGTCTTACGGACGTCGTGGTGGGCGGTGACCTTGTTCGCATAGCGAATGAGCGCAGTATCGGCACGAGGATCGATAACTTCTAGGGTGGGTTGTCGCATCCATCGGAACTGGAAGTGGGATCACAGCAATTCGGCTCCTGCGAGTGCAGCTGAGGTGGTAGTCATAATTCAACATATATAATCAGAGCATAATCACAAGCAACAAATCATGCGAATGGCGTGCGTTATCGTGATTGATTCCAGTCAATGCAGTCGTTTGCCGACCGCTTTTAACCCTCCTAAACTCCGTTGGTATTGTGAACCGACTATATGCAGAGATAAGAGACACGCCGTAAAGTCATCATGAAATCGAGAAAGCACATCAGGACCCGCTTAGATCTTGATAGCGCTCTCGATGGCCTTCCTCTTCTTCTCCATGCGGGCGTTGGCCTTGGCACCCATGATACCACCTCCCCAGTGGCGGGCAGCGTCCTTGTGGTGCGACTCGAGGTAACCGTCGTTGACAGCGGTGACGAGCTTCTGGAGCTCGTTCTTGTCCTCGGAGCGGACCTCGGTAAGAGCGAGAACAGCGGCGGTCTTCTGGTGGACGACCGTTCCGAGACGGGCCTTGCCCTTGACGATGACGTAAGGGACACCTGATTGAGGTCAGTAAAGGTTCTATATGCGTTTGCGCAGTTAAAGTACTCACCCATCTTTCTGCAGAGAGCGGGCAGGTAGACGACGAGCTCGATGGGGTCGACGTCGTTAGCGATCAGGACGAGGGAAGCCTTCTTGTTCTCAATCAGGCCAACAACGTGGTTGAGACCGTACTTGGCGACGTAGGGCTTCTTGCTGACGTCCTCCTTCTTCTTGCCCTCAGCGACGGCGGTGGCCTCCTTGGTGAGGCGCTCCTTCTTCTCGGCCTTGGTCTCGGGACGGTACTTGTTGAGGATCTTGAAAGCCTGGGTGGCAAGGTTACGGTCGGCAACGTGCTGGAACTGGGCAATCGCCGGCGGGACCTTCAAGCGCATGTTGAGGATCTTCTTCTGGCGTTGAAGACGGACATACGCGCTGTACATTGTCAGTATCTGCCATCTGCGGTGGATCGGGGTTTGCTTACGGCCAGCGGACCATGCGGCCGACGTTGCGCTGGGGCTGGATGTCCTGACCGATGCCATAGTTGCGAGGACGCTTCTCGATGAGAGGGTTCTGTTCCATTGTGAGCGGTTGTAGTTGAATGTTTGGGGAATGGGCAGACCTTTTGCTTCTTGGCGGCAGACGACTTAGAAGTGGCCTGGGGGAAAGCCGCAGGCTTCTTTCCGGATCCTTTGGGAGGCATTGTCGAGGCTGTCATAGAGAACAGAAACCATTAGCGAATGTTCATTCACTATAGGTCTGAATCTCGTAAGAGCGAGAGGGCCTTTCAGCCGCTCTCCACTCTAGCCATCATTTGTATGCGACACGCTCATGTAGAGACGTGCGATTGTGATATGCTACCGAGCATTCATGGCGGATATGCGCTTACCTGGTGTGTTGGCGGCGACGAAGTAAAGATTGGCGACGGTGGACTTGACGAACGTTCGAAAGCGGGCGCAAAAGTTGTCGGCACCGAAATCCACAGAAGCGAGTGCGCGCGGGTGGGGAAGAACGTTTCGCCGGCGCTAGTACCTGCCCAATGGTAGCGTGGTGCCTCACCATCCATCATCGACCGCGACAACTTCAATGCGAGATCATGAACGCGATCAATCTCGGCGCGAAAGGGCGTAACGCGCAGCTCGTCGCCATATTCTGCCTATGGAAAGCGCTGCTCCTCTCGCTCGCTGCATTCTGCCCAGGTCCCGGATACGACACCTCTGGTCTCATACTGCTCGACGCGAGCGCCCGGCGTCATGTTGAGCTGGATGTCACCTCCCGCTATGAGCGTTTTGTCCTCAATCTGCTCCACTGGGACGCATTGTACTTTGTGAAAGCAGCTGAGCGGGGTCATGTCCACGAACAAGCGTGGGCCTTCAGCGGGGCGTACTCGTATCTCCTGCGACTAACCGGTCAATGTGAGCACCAGAGGCCCAGTCATTTGGGTCGGCACTGATATCTCGCAGTGATGGCTGGCGATGCGCAGGCTCCTCTGCACTACTATGCTCTGGCCGGAATCATCCTTTCCAACATATGCCACCTCCTCTCTGTGCTAGTGCTGTATCGCCTATTGACCTTGGTCCTGGAACCTCAACGGCGACAGATCATCCCATTCATCGCCGCTGTCTTGCATATCCTGACGCCAGCTTCTCTTTTTATGAGTGCACCGTATGCCGAAGCCATGTTCTCATTGCTCAATTTCACAGGCATGCTCCTCTATGCTCAATCTCAAACTGCGGCTGAGACTGGAATGTCATGGGTTCGAGCGGACTTTCAGAAGATTGGATCTGGTGCTTTTTTCGCAGCAGCTACACTGATGCGAAGCAACGGTCTACTCAGCGGCTTAATCCTCCTATACGATGTCGCTAAGTACATGCCCTCTCTGACGTCTGCGCAGTTGCGTATACCAGATGTAAGAAGGATGCTTGTCACATGCATGGCAGGTAGTCTGATAGCCCTGGCATTCTTCGGGCCGCAGTATCTGGCATACACGGAATTTTGCGACCGAGGCAGCGGCACTGGAACTAGACCGTGGTGTGACAAGACCTTCCCGAGCATTTACTCGTGGGTACAAAGCCATTACTGGTCAGTTACCCCAATACGATGACTTACTAGTCTGACCTCTTCCAGGAACGTAGGACTCTTCCGTTACTGGACCATCTCAAATCTGCCTCTGTTCATACTAGCGGCACCAGTTTCGTGGCTACTCCTCACATCAAGTGTCACCATTCTCCGCAGCGGTGTCCCACGCCCGTTGCGTGGGCGTCCTGTACCCCAGACTGGTGAAACAGCCAAATCCAGGAACGGAACCTCCGCGATATGCAAGCTACCGGAATTGGCACTCCCGCAATTACTACTGGCTGCAACAGCCGTTACCAGTTTTCACGTCCAGATTGTGAACCGAATTGCTTCCGGCTATCCGATGTGGTATCTAGTCGTCGCTACGTGGTTGGCTGATTCACAAAGTACTCGCCCGGCAGCAAACCGTTCACGAACAGCCAGGTGGTTTATCAGAGGTAGCATCATGTATTGCTTGATACAGGGAATGCTTTTTGCTAACTTCCTCCCACCGGCCTAAATCTCAGGCCGCGCAAATACTGTCGCACACACCAAGTGGTGGCGTGAGCTCTACAACATAGCTCCTCGATTCGGACGCCCAGACAGTCTGTACGACTTAGCTTATTACTAGTAAAACGCCATGATCAGACTCCTGAACTCCAATACGAATATTTCGCAATTACCACAACACTCGGTACATCTAGAAGGTTACTTAATTCTCCGGGCGAGCTGGTGCTAAACGTAGGAATAGCTCAGGAGGACACACATTACCGAGCTAAAACCTATGTCTTACATGCGAATTTTGGCACTGCGGCAGAAGCTGAACGATCAGTTACGAGGCCGTCATGATGCCAAGTACCTCACAGTCTCACTACTAGTGTTGCTGCTCTAATGTCCCAGCCATCGCAAGTGTCAAGACATGCACCCTACAGTGGAACTTGGAGATAATAGATGAACGTCGCATAGAGCGGCTGACCTGTCTTTCTAGCCTATCATGGAAAGCTGGTCTGACGACTTTGTACCTGCATGCGCTACTGACGCCAGCCTACCGATGGAAGCCTAGATCATCGTATAAAAGTTGGCGATGCGACAATATGGCGAGATGCTGTGCCAGCATACTACTACAGTTCCAGTCCAGTTGTTTACAAAAACGTCATGATATCGAACCCCTCTGCAAGATGCGACACATTGGGCGAAGCAGAACATTGCATCATCCACTGCTTCCCTACACATGACCGACAGCCTTGCAATGTCGCTGTTTTCGCGACGGAAAATGACTTCTTGAACACCAACGCGCCATTTCAGGACACTGATCAATGCCCTAGTTTCTGAGTCAGAAGCCTTCTGCTTGAGAATGATGACCACCGTCAAGTCTCACAGCGACGCCACCTACACCAACCAGAATGTTGGAGCGAAGATGAGGGCCTCTCGGAAAGACAGAAGGAAGGCTTGGCCACGCCAGCTTTGTCACTAGTCTTTGGCATAGTGAGGGCGACTTATAAAGGTTGCTTCAAGCTGCTTTGGTTGGTAGCCGTGCTCATCAGCCTAGTCCGACCTACACTCGTTACTAGAAAACGATGAAGCTTTCTACCTTCTCTACCTTCCTCAGCCTGTCCGTGGCTTTGGCAGCCGTGCTCGACACTAGACAGCAATGCAATGAGGATGACTGCTTCCGCGCAGTTTTCGGCAGCGGCGGATTCGGTCAGATAATCAGGGCGGGAGAAGATTGCGATGACTTCCTTACTACAAGTGTCATATGGTACCCAATGTTTGTATTCCAATCAAGATGTCTGTCGAACACACTAACAGTCTACTCCAGCACCACTATCACGTCCTTTACTCTTACGACATCTACTCTGACAACACCATGCCCTTCGGAGGTATTGCCCGTTCCGACAGATGAGCCCATTACTTCCGACGAAGAAAAACTATGGATTCGACAAGCACTGCCAACCGGAACTAACTGGTCCACGACCACCGTCTTTGGACCAGTGCCTACATACGCCACCCAAGCCTGTGTCTCGCAAGAATACAGATCTGTTTGCGGATGTGCGAGCATCACCGAAGATACTATCACCTATCTTAGCACCGTAAGTTTTATGTCAGTGTGCGATGGGTAACAGCTAATCATGTTCTAGACTGTGACAGATATTGAGACTACAACGTATACCAGCGTTACAATTACCGGAACATCTTGCCCAATCATCACACCATCGTCTTCGATGAGCTCTTCAACTTCAAGCATGGTTACCTCGTCTTCGGTGTCCAGTAGTGTTTCTAGCAGCACTAGCTCTACCATCTCATCATCCTCGAGCACGGATAGTTCTTCAAGCTCGGCGACATCGTCATCCAGCACAGGAAGCTCTTCAGTGTCCTCGATCGACAGTAGTAGCTCATCTAGCTCGTCTACCATGCCAACTTCATCCAGCCCTAGCTCTTCAGCATCGTCAACTGAGTCTAGTAGCTCGTCAAGCACACCGACTGTGTCTAGTTCCTCCAGCTCTTCATCTGCAACATCTAGTAATTCGTCTACTAGCTTAAGCAGCTCATCTAGCAGCTTGTCTAGTAGTTCGAGCACGTCGTCATCTACCACAAGCGATGTATCCAGCACGAGCTCGAGTAGCTCATCCAGTACTTCGACTGAGCCCTCCGCCACTTCAAGCACCTCGTCCACGGTATCAAGCAGCTCCTCGACTTCCTCGGGAGAAGTCCCTGCCACAAGCAGCATGTCAAGCTCTTCCATGTCTTCATCATCCACCATGACACCAAGCTCCTCGTCAGCTACCACGTCATCAGAAAGCTCTTCCAGCAGCTCTTCATCAAGCACATCCGACATATCGAGCTCCTCCAGCAGCGTCTCAACAAGCTCAACTAGCACTACCGAATCCTCATCTTCGACCAGTGCAACATCTACCTCTAGCGACTCAAGTTCATCTGCAAGTAGTAGTTCGTCATCTTCAACGAGTAGCACGGACTCCTCATCGTCATTATCATCAATCACTACTCTGACTCCGACCTCCAGTGCTTCGAGCACATCGGCTAGCAGTTCATCGCCTGCGTCTTCAGCGAGCAGCACCGACTCGTCGTCTTCCCTGTCATCGTCCACTATCATAGACCCGACGACCTCTAGTGCTTCAAGCACGTCTGTCAGCAGTTCATTGTCATTCTCATTGAGCACCACCGACTCGTCCTCCTCGCTGTCAACAATTACAATCATAACTTCAACCTCCAGTGATTCGAGCACGTCTACTAGCAGTCCGTCGTCCTCGTCATCATCTTCTTCGTTGTCATTCAGTACTGCATCGATTTCCTCAACCACTGATACATCGTCGACTACATCCACAACGAGCGCAACGCCCAGCCCACCCGTGTGTGGAGGCTTTGGTGTTGGTCTCTGTGACGGCGCCTGCCGCGACCTCGCGACTGACGTTCTTCACTGTGGCCGGTGCAACAACGCATGCGTCGCGGGCAACCTCTGCAACAACGGAGTCTGCGCATCTCGTGCATGCGACTCGAACTGCGAATTTGACCGCCTGTGCAACAGAAACGGAACTTCGTCATGCCGGTGCGCAAGGACCATGGATGGCGCTGGTGTCTGTTACGACAAGGATGCGACAAACTGTTCTGACCCAGGAATCCTTCAATGCAGGACCTCAGCCAGCTGTCCGATCGGCACAGTTTGCATGCCTAACGTCTGTGACTGTGCGGATACTACCAAGGGCATCTGCGTTGGCACCACTGGGTGTGGGGACGAAGGATTGTCTGTCATGGGCGGGCTGATCCGAATCGGAGAGATGGAGAAGCGCAGAAGGACCGTCAGAGGGTTGGCGAACCAACTCTAAGTATGGGACGAAAGCATGGTGGTAGCATACGCAGGGAAAAGGGCGGCATCGTGGTTTGTTGTGATTTGGGAATAGTTGGGTGCCTGCCAATGTGCTAGTGGGCGTTGTACAATGGTCTTCACAACACAATATACATCCTTCGCTTCTATACCTACACCGGCAACGGCATCCCGTGTTGTGAATAGCGGTTGGCGTCAGTGCGACATTAAGCTCGCGGTGCATAAAGGCAATTTTTTGTTGTCAAGTGACGCTGCAGTGAGCGGTCAGTGCCTCGGAAGTTAGGTGCTAGCTTCTTTCGCGATGTCAACACACGATAGCGGGTGGTGCCAGTGTAGAGGGTCGCGTGTTTGGAGGCAACAATACGCGACGCGACTGGGGAAATGCAGGTGGTGTGGAGGTGTCCAGATGCAGGCCATCGTAGAGCGGCCTTGTAAACCACGGCGAGATATGACGGGTGCAATGTTTAATGTCTAACGCATGAATGTGGCGTCTAGCGGGTCCTAGCGTGCTCCCCACGCGCTGGTGTCGTTGCCGTGGGGATCGCCCGCCATGTCCGCGACGTAAACACAAAGTATGCCGGCCATGTGCCTCATCGCCTCCCCAAATATGCCCGCCATCCTTCTGCTATAGACAACCCACGTTTCAAGCCTTCTCTTCCCGGCCCCGACCTCAGTCGACGCTTCCCCAATCCCCATCTTGTTGGAGCACCATCATGTCGACGCCGGACATGGCCACCGCCGCACCTTCGCATAGACGGAACAGGAGCGCTGCAGCTGGAGTGCTCAAGTCTATCATCGCGAACAAAGGCCACAAGCGCTCGCCGACCGAGGGCGCTGGGCTGCACAACAATCAGATAGCGAGCCCGCCGTACATGCCTGTCTCCAACTTCCAGGCGCCGCTCCTGCCGCCAGACCACCCCCATAGCCAATTGCGCGCGGCAAATCAGACGGAGAACGTTCCCACCAATCCGCCGTCACCGCGCAAGTCGCGAGACGTCAATTCGAGCCCCAAAAAGAGCCTGCATAAGAAGACACTCAGTTCCGTCTCGCTGCGGTCACTGGCCAAGAAGGAGAACAAGGAGGAGAAGGAGAAGCCGGCCTACAAGAAGTCATTCGACTCGCGGCGATCTCAGGAAGAGGCCGAGATGGGCGAGAAGCCGAAGAAGACAAAGTCGTCGACCAATCTGGCTGCCATGTTCGGCGGGCGCCGGAGAGACAAGTCACCTGTGAAGGAGAGCAGAGACAAGGAGAACACTACACCACCCCGCTCTTCTCACAACAAGGCCCCACCTCGTACTCCCATCTGGGCCGAGTTCAGCTCCCAACAGGAAGTCACCACCACGAGCAAAGTCCCGCTTAACGATCAGCGACGGAGCGTCGAGGAGGAGATTGCCCTCTACACTCCCCAGGACTACTCCCCCACCAAGCAGCGCAACTTCTTCGAGGTCGGCCAGCCAGCCCTCCGACCAGCCCCGAAAGAGCGGCCCAAGTCCATGTTTGCTCCCAAGTCGACTTCCACGGCATCCTTGCTTGAGACCTTCTCGCGCAAGCGCAGCAACGAGCGCGTTCCTCTATCAGACACCAAGGGCAACGAGGGACGCACAAGGGAGAGTTCTCCTGTAAAGCCGGCAAGACCCGTACTCAGTAGGGCTAGTACCGACACCGGCAGCAAGGACTACAGTCTCAATCCTATGGCGCCGCCGCCGCCGCCCGCCACGACCAAGAAGCAGAACCGAGTCATGGCTGCCGTTGCTGCCTTTAACGGAAAGTCAAAGCAAGCTGACGGTGCTCCGGCGTCTGCCAAGCTCGATCCAAAGGCGGTAGACGCCGAGTTCGAGGAGGTTCTGGTAAGTGCTGTCCGAAGCCCCCAATGAATACCTGCTAATGATACCAGGAATCTCGAAACATCCCCACACACCAACGCGCTCAGATGCGGACACTGAAGCTTGAGGTCAAGGCCGACTTCGTTCGCATGCACAAACTCGACATACCCCAGACCTCGCGAACAAACTCCGCCCAGTCTTCCATTGGCGAGAACACCAAGCAGGCGCCACAGAAGTCGTCCAAGTCCCGACATGGATCTGCCGTCGAGGATGCAGAGGATGAGGCGGAAGCGGACAAGTCAGCCAACTCTACTAAGCGTGAGCGACCGCGGAGCCGAACATTCACCTTCAACAGGAGTGACTCTCCGACGAAGAAGCAGAAGGGCGAATCGGGCGAACGGAAGACGAACTCAAAACCAGCGCCTATTCCCAAGTCTCCGTCTATGAGGTCACTAAGGTCCAATGCTTCTGATCGTTCTGTGTCCAACGGAGCGAAATCGGTCAAGGCCGACGAGTTCATCTCCTACTTGAAGAAGACGCCTAAGCCACAGAACGTCGAAGTCGGCAAGCTGCACAAGCTTCGCCTGTTAATCCGTAACGAGACTGTCGACTGGGTTGACAACTTCATCCAGGATGGTGGTATGACTGAGCTGGTCGCGTTGCTTCACCGCATCATGGAGATTGAATGGCGCGAAGACCACGAAGACACGCTTCTGCACGAACTCCTTCGATGTCTCAAGGGACTCTGCACAACCGCCACGGCTCTCAAGCAGCTCAATGAGATCTCGTCGACACTGTACCCAGCATTACTGGCCATGCTTTTCGACGAAGAGCACAAAGGTCCGAGCGAGTTTACTACGCGTGAACTCATCATCGAGATCATCTTCGCTCACATCTCCATGGCACCCGAGGGCGAGCTAGAGACCCGCGCCAAAGAGCTGATGAAGTACCTGAAAGACCCTGTTAAAGAGAAGCAGGCTTCGACGGTTCCGTTCATCCTTCAGATGCACACACAGCGGCCCTACCAGGTCTGGTGCAAGGAGCTGTCCAACGTGACCAAAGAAGTCTTCTGGATCTTCATCCACCACCTCAACGTCATTCCCGTTCCCCCCAAGCCTACGGAGGGAAAGTCGTACGCGAAAACGCACTTCCCAGGTCAACGCGCAATCGTTCCTGCAGCACCCTACGTTGGCGGCGTGGAATGGGACGCAACCAACTACCTCGCCACTCACATTGACCTCCTCAACGGCATCATGGCCTCTCTCCCCACACGCACCGCACGCAACGAGTTCCGCTCCGAACTCAAGATCTCAGGCTTCGAGAAACTGCTCGGCCACCTCCGCGCCTGTAACCCCAAGTACTACGGCGCTGTACACGACAGCGTCAAAGTCTGGATCGGCGCCGCCCTCGAAGACGACTGGGACGTCAAGACTGTGCGCATGGGTGCTGGCGATGGCAAGGGCGGCAGTGTCAGTCCTGCCAAGCAGAGCCCGAAGAAGAAGACGGAACCTCCACCACAGCTCATGGCACCGCCTAAGATGGATGTTGGGCTTGGTCTCGGACTGGGTTTTGAGCGGGAGATTGCCATTGGCAGTACGAACAAAGTAGACGATGACTGGATTTGAGGTGTTCGACATCGCTATCTGTCCAACATCTACTACCACTTGGATACCAGCCTGATATCTCTTACCCAACAGCCACTCTCGACCATCTCCTCCTTTGGATGACCAACTGCTTCAACCCAACATGAACTCACCAAACCCATCAACATTGCTTTCACCACCGGCGCAAACACGGATACAACGGCGTTCATCACCTCTCCACTGCATTCCATCTCACATCGTCACATCGTCAAATCAACATCAAATCACAGCATGCATCAAATCTTTTCATCTCCCACCCCCATTGGATCTCTTTCACGACACTCTCTCTTTGGCATTCCTGGGGTCATGAACGAATATCTCTCCCTCTTTCACATCACGACCTTAGCATATGACATGACTCTCACGACCGACACGACACGGCTGGCTTCCCTTTGCCTTGGGGGGCAACGACGTTGTGTTTTACTACCTTCTGACCTTCTTTCCGACACACAGATACGTGAATGGGACGCGTGTATAGTGTATACATATACTTGTTGTTGCGCTCCTTTTTTTATTGTTTATGCGCAATGTTTGAGATGCATGGGTATGGGCTGGGGCGTATAATGTTTGATATGGGAGTTTTGATCGGGAGAATTCAGGTCATCTATCTTCAACATTTGGTCGTTTTGTGATTATGATTGATGTGATACAAATGCCCTAACCAGGACTCTATTCAACGTTCTAAGTGGGTATCTGATGTCTGACAACTCCAACTCCGCTAGCCCAGGCCATTGCCATGACCATGCCAATGCCGCTAAATGATAAACTCCACACGAATGCCTCAAACCTCACACTCTTCGTAAGTCATACCCCATACCCCATCAAGCCTTCTTCTTCCCCTTCCTCCTCCCCTTCTTCTCACCCACCTCCACCGTCCCACCCTCCACCTCACCCTCCTGCAACCCCATAACTTCATTCCCCTGCATCTCCTTCAACTTCTCCTGGCCACTGATAAAGAAGCTCAAATCGCGATTCTGCTCCTCGAGATCCGCCTTTTGGGCCTCAAGCTCTTTAACCTTATTCTCGGCCTCCTCAGCCTTCTTCTCCAAATGCTTAATCCGCTCCATCAAACTCTCATTCACAATCTGCTCTTCTTTGTATTGCTTGGTGAGTTTACGTGCGAGCTCAGAGGCGGACGTTGCTTTCTGGGCGTTGCGCGCGGATTCGCGTGTGAGGGAGGCGATGGTGGTTGTTGCTTCGGACTGGGAGGTGGAAAGCTGGTCGAGTTTCTGGGACAGCGAGGCGACGGATCGGGTTGCTTCGTCGGCGGTGGAGGCGGCTTTTGCTGCTTTGTCGACTGCGCGTTCGAGCTGTTCCTCAAAGTATGCGCGTTGAGATTCGAGTTGGGAAGTGAGTAGGTAGGCGTACTCCATGCCCATGTTGTCGAGCTTCTCGCGCGGGACGGTGTCGTTGGAGTAGCCGGTCATGCCGGGTGCGCTGAAGGATTGGTTCGAGGCGGGCATGTCGACGAGTTTTCCGTCTGCTTTGTTTTGGATTAGGCGGTGGACGTAGCCATCGCCTGCGTAGTCCCAGACGTGTTGGGTCACCACATCCATTGCATAGGTATGGCTTGTTGCTTCGTAGTGTGCGAATGCATGTGCTGAGTCGTAGCGGCCACATCCTATGTTACCGCAGATTAGGCAGATCCAGAGGTTTTGTGTGGATCCGCAGACACTGCACTCGTTGTCTGGACTCTCGCCGTCTGCGCCCCGATTTGAGGTAAAGGCATCGTTTTGTGTGTACCGACAGACTGGGCAGCCTGAGCCCCGCCACTTCTCAAGACAGGCGCAGTGGAAGACGTGCTGACAGAGAATGGTGAGGAGGCCAGTTGTTTCGTCCATGCGTTCGAGGCAGACAGGACAGGTTGGTAGCTCTACCAAAGCAGGTGTAGGTGGAGCGTGTGGTTTCGCGGTAAGCGAAGTAGCGATTGATGGTCCGTCGACTGGTGAAGGTACGGTGCTAGCTGGCGGAAGAGGAGCTGTGGGCTGTTTGGTCGGCGCGGGCGCGAAGGGATCGTTGGTGAGGTCAGGATACGAGGTGGGATCGCGGTTTGAGTCGCCGTTCTGGAAGTTGATCGACTTGACAAAGACGACATGACAGTACTCAGGCTGTTTCTGTCAGCTGCGACCTCTTGACTATAATAGTCCTTTGTCTTACCTCCATACTGTTGAAGGCCTTGCCATCCCATTCCTTTCTCCACGCCCTCGCTTTCTTGGCTTCCCGGAACTTCATCAGCACCATGTATTTGTTCGCTCTGCTTGTCCGGATGAGCCTAAAATGCGAGACGTCCTCCCTCGTCTGCTCGCCCATGAAGCCGAGAAAGTCGGAAGGTGTCATGTATGAGGGCACCGCCAGTATGCACAGCGTAGTGCAGTCGTCCTCGTTGAAGTCCTTGCTCGCTCCGTCCACCTCATCGTACAAGCCTGGCGTGTCCTGTCCATCGCGATAGAGATGTACGACACCCCAGCCAACATCTGTGTCTTTCAGATCTGAGGGTATGAACTTGCCCTTGGTCGCGAGACCACCGGCATTTGGCGCGTGTGAGGGGTGCTTGAGTCGAGCTCGATCGAGTTCAGTGCCGGTGCTCGGGTTCATGTCGATGCTCAGTATGGAGATGGTGTCGAAGCGCCAATCCCTGTGTGCAAAGCTTTGTGTTCGCCTGTGTCCCGGCCTCTTGGGCGGTTTGACGACGGGTACCGGGCTTTCGTGGTGGTCTGAGAAGGATGGTCGCGTGCGATGACTGAACCGGCGGGCGGTAGATGTGCGATCACGGGCAGCAGCAGCTTGGCTGGCCTCACTGCTAGAAGCTATGGGTTTCGGGAAATGATTGTATGCGCGTGATGCCGGGGGATAGGAGCCCCACGACGCTCGGCGATGGGCTGGAAGCTTCGAGTCGAAGATGTCGCTAGGTAGAAACGTCTTGTCCGGCGACGAGCGCGAGGGATACAGCTCGAAGGTAAGGTGGAAAAAGTACGCCGGCATCAGGTCTTATTGAGGTGCCTGCATTTCCAACGAGTGTGATTGTGAACAGAAGTTTGGAACGTACGCAACGTGTTTGCGACCTGAGCTACGTGACTTGCAGCCGCGGCAGTGGGGCAAGCGCAAGCGCGTCATTCCCGCATCTCTCCGCACATGTTAGCGCACCAAGACGCGCACGGCTTCACGACAAAGGCACATTTTGAGGATTGGAGTGATAAAATTATATTTCATTCTTGCCCTGTACCTACGCATTGCAAGTCCAGCTAATCCTCATAATGGTGGTCGCCCATGGCGTGCCCTTAATGCTGTCCTTCGGATATAGTAAACGCCATAGCTATGCAATAGTAAAGAAATTGTAAAGAAACACGCTATCCCGGCAAAGATGTCATTTCCCACACCATGTGTACGGTAAAAGAGACGGCCAAGGCCGAGCCAAAGAAAGGCATTTCATGATGCCACCTGAATAAATAAGATTCGATTGCCGTGTCGTCAAGTCATTCGCCAGAACGCGTAGTGGGTATCGCTTTTGAACATGGCCAAAACATTCGCGCCGGTCCCAAGTGGTGATGGGTGTAACTGTATTTCGTGTAACTCGCAGTGTTGAATGGTAGAATAGAACTAAGCCTGGTCCACGTCGATTAAGTCGCCCTCGGTGATATCCTCGATCTCGTGGCCCTTGGAGTTGACGACAATGCGTCTTCCTCGTTGGTCGGCGGGAACTCCGTCGCGTGAAGCACCAAAGTCGAGAACCTGCAATTGTCAGCTAGTAATTCGTGAAGGCTGTCCTTAGTTGCTTACCTCGATGTATGTCATGCTGTTGCGCTGAACAGCAGCAACACAACGACGCTCATTGAACTTGACCTGCCATACGCCGCTCAGGTCTGTCAGCAAGTCCTTGACAAACTCGCCCGTCTTCACATTCCACATCTTGAGTGTACGGTCAGAGCCAGATATGACTTTCTGGCCGTCGTGCTGGAAGCAAGTGATGGCACCTGTGTGAGCACATAGTCGGCTTTTGCATTGTCCATTCTCTGGGTCCCAAATTCGGAGAGTTGAATCAGCAGCCGCTGATACCAAACGCTCGTGGCTCAGATCGAGAAGACCGACGAGCGAGGTATGACCCTCAAGCGTGAAGATGCAGGCCCCTGTCTCCAGAGACCAAACCTTGACCATGTTGTCCATGGAACCACTGATGCAGCGGTTGCGCGCATGGTCGAGAACAACACTGTACACCTTCTGCGAATGACCTTGAAGGCGTTGCAGAACCTCTCCGGTAGAGATTTTCCACACTCGGACAGTGCAGTCGTAACTGCCACTGACGAGCGTGTCACCGTGTGCAGCAATCGCGCGCACTGAATGATGGTGTCCCGTAAGGGCGCGTATGAAGTACGGATTGTCGTGATCATTGGATGACGCTGCAGCCTGCATGATGCCCCGATCGCCTGGCTTGGGAAGCTTCCAGACGCGAAGGGTAGAGTCTCGCGAACCCGTAATAATGAGCTCCTCCTTCGGCATCATGATTGGCTGGCCGTCAAGGGTCTCGCCAATCTGAGTCGGCTTGAGTATTACTAGGCATCGGACGGTGGAGGTGTGACCCTGAAAAACATGCGTGCACTTTCCCTTTTCAATATCCCACACGCGCACTGAGCGATCGGTGGAGCCGGATACGAGTGTGTTGCCCTCGTACTGGAGGGCCCACACGCCGCCTTCATGCCCTTCAAGGCGGCTTCGTAGCGCTCCTGTCTTCGTGTCGTAGACATTGATGTTCGTATCATCACTGCCTGTCAAGATCTTGTCTGTATCAAACTGAAGACATGTCACCACGTGGCGCTGATGGGCGCGGAATGCAATGTGTTTCGGCTTCGTGTCAGTCGCCATCCAGCTCTTGCGGATAAGATGATGACGTTGATATAGAGACTTGAACAGATGCATAGCACGAAGACCAGGTAAACCAACATTGGGATCGGAAATGGCGGCCTCTGCTCGCTTGGCAAAAGCATGCGGCCCTTCTTGGCAGTCTGCGGGGCGCGAATAGAGGGCCATCTGTGTCCTAGTAGAGGGGCGGCTCTTGCGCGCTTTCTTGCCGCTGCCGCTACCATGTTTACTGGTAGCCTTCCTCTTCTGACGTATCGAAGACGATCGTGTCACTGCGCCCTCCTGGTCTAGCAAACCACTGGAGAATCCCGAGCTGGAAAAGCCCGAGAGGCCTTCGTTGTCAGATCTGGAGGCTACCGATTGAGCCCTGAGATCGCGCTCGTAGCTGTCAGCAGAATGAGGATACTGCCAACCCCAGCCTTCTTGCACAGCGCGCTCCAACTCGCCATACGGCAGCTTGTAGCCATCCTTGTCCAACAGATCTTTCCATGCAGACTCGTGGGTATCGGTGAGCTTCCGCCAGTACTTCGACACCTGTGCGGCACTGCACATGCTCTTGACGTCCAGATACCCGATAATCTCAAGGCTGAGCTCCGTAGGTAACGAGGCGATGAAGTCGCGTTTTAGGGCGGGATTGACGACATCCGCAACGAAGTGTAAGGTCGGCTTCTTACATCTTCTGAGCATCTGGTATAAGACGTACGACTTCATCTGTTCCGGCAGAGCATCGAACGAGTTCAGCATGTTCGGTATGTCCATGGCGGAGGGTGTGGGTAGTTGCGTATTGGAGCTGTCGGCGTTGTCACGCTGTCGGGAGCCAGGAAACAGGGTGAAATCCCCCACGCGTGAGCTGCTTGAGGTGCCCTGTGACAGGTCAAGCCCGGAGACGTCGTTCGCATCGAAGTCCATGTCTGTGCCCGAGAAGGAAGCCCCGCCATTTGTTTGTTGGGCGAGGTTTGCGGCCGCAGTGATGGGCGACAAGCTCGGACTAGGTAGGCTCGCGTCTTGTGCAGACGTTGTGTCAAGAGGCGTGAGGCGTGAGGGGGTGAAGGACGCGTCGTCGGCGAAGGGTCCAACTGGTTCCAGATCAGATTCGGCGATTGGGGGTGTAGCAGCTACGCCGGGGCCATCGAATACACCTGTGGGGAAGGCGTGCTCGGGAGAAGGCTCGCGATGGTCCGAAAGACCACCGCTGGAGTGTGATGACCGAGCGCCTGATTCTTGGAGCCGCCATCTGGGCGGCGTTTCGTCTGGTGCAATTTGCTGTGACGTAGTCCGTAGCTTGGAGTTGTGTAGATGGGCGGCGGTGCGGAGTTTTGCCAGCTTGGATGGTCCGGAGCCTGCCATGTCGGTATCGGGTGTGGCCAGCTGCGGATCCTCCATGTCATCCGAGGTGGAACGGGAGGCCGTACGTGTAACGTCCTTATTCTCGTGCTCCAGCCGGGGCTTCTTGCTTTGGCGATGTATGCCGAGAAGCTCGACGGCCTTTGTTATTGACGGTGGCGGCGGTGAGTCGTCTGCATTATCCCGTTTCCGACGGCCAGATACCGAGCGTAGGCCTTGGTGAGGAGCGTGTGGTTTCGGACGCGTCGAGCGGCTGGGTGTCGTGAAGACTGGCGGGCCGTCATACGACTCGACCTTTCTGAGAGTGCCGTTGGTCGATCGTAGGTTGCGTTGGAGTGTTTTCTGCTACAGTAGAAGCGTTAGCCGGTGGTTGGCAGATGCGACGTGAAGGGCCTCAGCCGCAGGCATATCCCTGGCATGAGGAATGCGTACCTCTCGCACCTTGTCCGATGCGGCACCTGCCTCTTCGAAGCAGGCCAGGTTGCCTCCAGATTCAAAGTAGAACTTGCGTATCGACTCGGGTGCCTGGACGTGGGCCAGCGGGTAGTCCTTGGGGTCCCGCTCGCTAAGGCTGCCGGGGGCGTTTACACACAAAGGCGGGAACGTGGTCGTCGTGGTGTATGTGGTCGTGACTACGGTAGTCTTGGTGGCAGGCGCGAAGGAGAACTGTCCCATGGTGGCGTACGGGTCTGTGGCTTCGGTGTGCACCGTCTTGGCCACGCCGTCAGCGCCGGGGCCAGCAGCGTTGGAGGCCATGTTGCACGGACGTGACGAGAGACTGAGGGCGTGAAGGCTCTTTCGGGATCCAGTGATTCGTGGGAGGATGGGCGTGGAGAGCCTGTTCGGGACACTTGCCGAGTGAAGAGGCTCGCGGAAACGTTAGTGGTGCTGTTCCGGGACCTGAGACCTCGGGATCAAAGCGCGAGCTCGGAGGAGCAGAAGACAGGCGGGAAGAGCAGCAACTCTAGTAATCGTACATGTCGCCAGTCGGTACGCTCGTCGTGTACGGGCTCGTTGTGGTGATCACGGGAACCTGGTACTTTGCTATCCGACGTGTCGCCGCTGACGGAGAGATAGGAGCCGCTGGAGACGTGATGCCGTGGCGGAACGCGAAGTGCAAGGTGGCGGTAAGGTCGGCACGCGGTGGATCGGGAAGACGCCAGAAACGAAGGTTGGTCGTGTAGTCGTGTAAAAGGCAGTGTGGTGGACTGACAGTGGTGGTGGGGTCTAAGGTAACGAAGGCACCTGGCTGGTGGGCAAAGCTAGCTTCCTCCATCCATGCAGGTGTCAACCGCCCCAATTCACACATATCACGCGCAGCGGCAAGCTTCTAGTCTTCGCGGCGGGGCAAATTATCCCAGCAATACTCTCCAGCATGTAGAAATCACCTCAATACATCGCAACGCCTCTTCCTCTCTATGTCGAAGCTATGGTTCCTATGACATGAGCTATCGCTGCACCTGCGCAGCTTGCGGGTGGATAGTGTTCTCGCGTCACTCGGCTCAGGCGCCTTCGTGTGATTCGATCACTGCCCCATCGACTTTTCCCGCCGTGGCAAAATCACAACAACAAGCGCCGCCCTCATGCTTTACCATCTTCCGCTTTGTCTGAGGGAAAAAGCTTCCATAACAAACGATACCGTGGATCCGTTCGATTTTCGAGACTACACGCTGTGTATGCGTCGGACACATAGGCAGCAGTGTTGCAAGAGACAGCTGCACGACGCCGGAAAGCGCCACATTGCATGACACATCTGGACAAACACAATACCCAATGAGCAATACAGCAGCAGCAGCATCCAGCAAGAGTGACTGTCAAGATGCAGTCGCAAAGACATGGACGGTTGCGTGGTTGAAAGCCCGGCTGATGGCCACATCGCCACATTGGCGACTTGCCATGATCAGATGTCTTCTTAATACATATCGAAGGAGCGTACGTCCGACATGTGGCGTGACTCACTTGAATCTGCATAATAATAGGAAATCATTGTTGCCCAAGTGTGTTGTATAAAAACACGTGACGACCTTCTTTCATCGTAACGTGACCAGTGAAACCGAGACGATGCTTTCCGCTAGAACCGCACATGACGAGCTGTCGTCGTATGATGTGTCTACCATGACCTGCCTTCTCATCTAAGGCAGCATCCTTCATCAAACCCTTTCGTTGCGTTTGCGCCAGCAACGTCGGCGTCTTCGTGCTAGAGTGTCTGAGAAAGCGAGAGAAAGAGATTTCATTGTCTGTTCGCTGTCGTTCTCTCCACCCAATATAAAAGGAGGAAAGATATCTTGATACCCAAAGCGCAGTTACTTATCATCGTTCCAGTCGACCAGGCTCCCGGGCTCGGGGTGACTGAACGATAGTTTGAGAAGAATGTGTTTTAACTTTTGGATGTGCGTCTAATGTTTCAGCTGCAGCATCTCGGATATTCATCACAGAGAGTTCGCATTGTCGGGTTCATGTTCGTTGCTCGGGTTCGGGTGGAGGAGCTTGTAAACTCTACTACTCAGACTGCGGATGATGTGTGTATCTCCTTCGTACGGCTAGCCAGGACCTGCTCCGGAGTCACCCATAGGGAGCAAACATGAGCGCACCGAGCAAGCTGAAACGACCTTCCCAAGCCCGAGAACCCATAGTACCAGCCGGACCTGTCAAAAGTTCGCGGTGCAATCTATATTCATAGTAACACGGCGAAAACTCCGACAGCCCCTCAACGCCACCAGATGCGTTCGGCTGCGTTCTTTCAGCCTCGTTCTTGGGCCTAAATGGTTTTGTCACGCTGACATGTTGGGTTCGATTGACCCTGAAAGTAGGGCTGTCGTTCACGTCCGGGCCTTCTTTGAACGGCCTTTCAAGGTTTAATGTAGGGAACAGAGCGTTGGACAGCAACGCGCGACAAGCTCTCGCATCAGCACTACGTGAAGTATAATGATTGTGTTCGACGCGTACAGGACATGGACCACCTTGGTATCACAAACTAGCTGTGATGGACTTCCAAGGGGATCGCGCTTTCGTCGCGAGGAGATAGCCGGATCGGCGAAGAGCCGGCTTGGCTTTCGTCCGTCCCCACGAAGATGTCCATTGATCACCGTGGAGTAATCCACACCATATCCTTATAGAGACGACCTGCGACCAGAAGGGAAGGACGCGGGCGCATCACACGATTCATCTCGCATCCCTGAGTATGCTCGACAACCCGAGATACCCAAGATACCCAATGTACCCAACTTGCGGACGCCTCAGCGCTGCTACCCGCCTTGTGTCGCAACTCTGTGGATGAACGCGAAGCGAAATGCGACTTGTGCGACACCACCTGCGATGACGGTGAGTCGGAAGTGAACCCGATGGAGGAGGCAGTATGCAGGTACGAAGGGTGGAAATTGGCGACTTATGGAGGACCACGATAACACGACCATGCTCGACTTCCTCGTCCATATTCGGCATGCCACGAGCTAGAGCCTTGGCAAAGGCTAGCATGTCGCCTACTGAGCATGGGCGATCCTACAAACTTCGGTAACGCGAGCTCTAGCTTTGCTCAACCACTTGAGCAATTTCTTTCCGACAGATCCAGCCTCGTCTGATGCGGTGACGGGCAACAGGCGGATATGCTCGAGGCCGTGCCTCTCCGCACTGCTGCACATTCGGGTCGCGGCGGCGTGCTGTCATCTGACTGGAACCCAGGGAATGCATGTATGCGACGCAGCAGTGTGGCTTTTGGCTCGGAGCTTGTGCCTTGCTGCGGTCCGCACGTCTTGCCGAATGGCATGATACCCCTGAAAGCCTACTACGATGCGGATCCTACCACCACCAGCTCCTCACAAGCGGTAAATTCAATGGATCCTTGGGTTAATACTCGCGGGTTATACCCGCCATCGCCCATCTTCCTGGGAGATCTCGAAAGCTGGTTCTTTACTCCGCCATCCCCATCGCCCCCAGAAGCAGCAAACTCGATAGTCCTGGAGCGGCGCTGCATGACATCGTACTACTTTACGCCGCGCTGCCGTTCCTGCAGATAGCACTCAACCAGTCCACGCCCGATTAGCGCTCAGTGCAGCAGCGCAGTAGGGGCCCGCAGTTGAACCCTTGGATTCCTCAATTGAGGTTGCCGGATCTCTCCTACCGCATATCGGATCGTCATCTGCACCAAAAAGCAAACATCACTTAATGCCGTCAGCGCTGGCCGGGGGTAGCACAAGACGTGCCATTCGACGCAATTACACCCTATGTGGGCATTGACTTCGTAGCGCCAACTGAACTGGTCCCGCGATTCAGTCTCGACTGTCATATCTCTAACTACCCTGAGTCGCGCCCACGCCGGCACCACAGCCACCAATCTTCCACCATCATGGCTCGCGGCGACCGCGCACCCAAGAAGTTTTCCTTCCCTCTACCTCGCCGCTCGCGACCCAAGAACGACGACCTCGACGCCCGCCCTGCACCGTCGATTGCCTCTGGCCCCGACAGGCCCTCTCGTCTCGAAGACACCTCCAGCAAAGCACACCGAATCCTAGGGACGTCCGATGTCCTGCATCGCACGGCATCTCGGCAGTCGACAATACCACCAAGTCCTGGATTCATGTCCATCACTGTGTCTGAGGCTAGCTTCGGCTCCCACATCGACGAGAGAAACACGGCAACACCCACCGAGAACGACGGATACCTGAAACGTCCCACCATGGCAACACGAGCCTCGTCAAACGTTCTGGGACGCACATATACTGGGGAAAGCAGGCACGGCTCTGACAGCAGTTCCCTCCATCGCCGGCTACACCCTCAAACGTCGAATTCGACCCTTCGATCACATTATGACGCAAAGAAGTCGCCGCTCGCCATCTCCCAGCAGACTTCCGACTCGGCAGTCAGAGACAGGGCTTTACGAAGAGGGTATCCCCCGGTATTGACGGATCATGGGTACGACAATCACGAAGCGAGTCCAGTGTCGCCTGTCATCCTGGAGGAAACGAGGAAGAAAGAATACCGAAAGAGTAAGCCAGCCCGGCTAGATCTTACAAAACTGTTCCCCAAGCCGAAGGATGGCAGCGACGGTCATGGCGGTACACTGCTTTCGCCTGCCAAGATGGTCAACTCGCCGGCCGCTATGTCATCCACCTCTGAGTTCTTTCCTCGCCCAATGACGAGACAACCGACGCCACAAGTACAGCCTGCCAAATTACAGAAGAAGAAGAGCATGAAGTACCATGATCCTCCAGTAAAGCCTCAACCTCAACCTCAACCTCAACCGCATATGAGTCCAGTACGCAAAGTCAAGAGAGATCAGTATGATAATGCCAAGATTCACGTACGCCGTCCGCCAAAAGGCGTCCAGCACTGGTTCGATGCGCTCGATGAGGATAGTGAAGAAAGTGAGGAGGAAGTACGCGACTTAGAACCCAAACGCCACAACAGCGTCGCGACTGAGCCAGACCTTATGCCAGACCTTGTGCCTACTGCTATCGAGGCTTGGCAAGGAAGGAATGCATCTCGTTGCGATAGTCGATCGCAGAATCCCACACCAGCGTTTAAGAGGGACAGTTTTGCGCTTGAGGATATCGTCGACATTACCCATCTGACCTCACCCAGCCAGTACTCTTTGGACACATATCGCTCACATATCTCAGCAAAGACCAAGACGTCAGCTATCTCCAAGACTAATCTCCAGGACTCTAGTGTCTTGTCTTTCTCCTCGTCTGAGGATGAAGCTGACGACCGGTCACGATCTCGCAAGGGCAGCGTCCGCAAGAGCATGGATAGCGCCGACTACACAGGGGAGATCGTTATCGGTCGGGCGCAAGCTTACGAGCTTCCACCACATCGCCGTATGCAGTCGTCGGGAAAACTGAGCATACTCTCAACGTCAACAAACGCCACTATCGAAGTTATGTATGCACCAGAACCGCATTTCCCTTCGTATCATCACCCTCGTGGCAGTACCTACAGCGGTGGCAGATTGTCCAGCCACGTCAGGCAGCCCTCGATCATTCACGAAGACGACGACATCCGTCCAAAGACCGCTGTTACCCAGCCAATTTCACCAACGGCACACAGTGTCGTGAGCACGCGCACGTCAGCCAGCGCACCACAGGCTCAGTCCGAAGGGTCACGCAAATTTATGCAAGTCACGCCAGAAGAGGAGGCTTTGTTGGAGCTGATGAGGAAGAAACGTGCCGCTATGAACAAACAGATCGAATCATCGCAGTCATCTACACCGGAACAAGATCGGCATCAACATAAGTCATCTAAACGTCCTACACCGCCGCATCGCACGTCTGCCTCTCTTGCAGAAGGTATGTCTCCCAGCTCTGCGCGAATGGTTGAGTCACGGAACAAACACCGAGCACCCACGAGTGCACCTTGCTCCATTGCGCCATCACGTGGCAGATCTTCGACGACAGAGAGCCGTGCAACTACAAGTCGACTCCGTGACACCTCGGCCAGCACCACTTGGTCAGATCGAAATTACTCGCCTGTCAGTCGCGGGAGAGTGTCGCACCAATTGCTCACCCCGTCCGTGTTCTCGCCACAGGACATGTTGTCTCCCCCGTCTCCGCCGCTTGCTGGGAGCTTCGCATCGCCCACTACTACCGGCCATCCATCTCCCTTGCCCTCGCCAATGACGCCTGCTCTATACGCCGACGAGAGAGACGTCGCTGTGAAAGTTGCGAGCAGCGACACAAGCAACGAGCTTGACGAGCTAGCTATGCTTGATCACGGTATCATGCGTATGCCCTCCGTGGGTGCGAAGTCTGAATCCTCCCACCGACGACGTAGGACCGCATCCAGCGACGCCGAGATAACCTTCCCGGTGCCGCCCACATCCACCGGCTTCCGCGACCTGACTCCAGTCTCAGAGGCCTCGTCCCGTGCTCCCAGTATCGTCGAACCCGCACTACCAAAGATGCCGAAGAAGAACGCGCGACACATCAGCGAACTCGCGCTCGCGAGCATAGAAACACGGAGTCGGCAGAGCAGCATTCGTTCTACTGAATCCCGTACGTCGGTTTACTCGCAGTCATCTAGCTACTACAAGCCTACCAGCAAGGGGAGGGCACGTCATTTGAGCCCAGACGCCAATGTTACGAGTAGTCCCAGGATGACGAGTAATGATCGGGATAGGGACAGCGTCAGTGACGACGTTTTGGCTGCCTGGGGCAGTCTGGGAGGGACGTACTAGACTCGCATATTTTTCTTTTCTTCTCATTTCACCATACTTTCACATTTGGTCACGAACTTCTCTTTCTGGCGGTTACATCATTCCCATTTCAGCGGTATGATACCCCTCCGCTTCTCACCCGCCGCTTACAGTTCGGTCGGCCTATTTACCTTAACTTGTAAACCTAAAGTCGATATCTGTTGTACGATTTCCTTTGTCGCTTTTTATCACTGCATCGCCTTCTCAGGGTTTCCAGCATCAGATGCATGGATTTCATTACCACTATTACCATTATTGTATGAGGACGGGGTTTGGTGATGAGGTTGGGTCATCATAGATACTTTCACGACTCGTAAACCGAGTCTTCAACCTAGAGTTGAGTCGCGCATGCAATTGCGACCGACAATATAATTTCATGACTTTTCCAACGCAACTCATGTTCCATGCCATCTTCCATGCCATGTTTTTTGTCATGTTCCCCCACACCCATGATGCATGCACCCCTTTTTTTCTTCTCAAACGACTTTCTTTTTTTAGGGAAACACCAGCATGTCATTGTAGGGCCGTGCACCCGGCCCTATCTCGCTTCTCGCACGCCCCGTGCGACCCCAACGAGAATGCGAAGGAGAATGAAAGTGGCGGACGCAATGCAAGCATCAAGGAAGAATGCAGGATGCAGCCAGCCGTTCAACATTCCGCGTTCCCGAGACGTTGGGAAAAAGCGAAAAGAGGGCTGTTATGCTTTTTTGATTGAGTCGGGTACCTCGTCCACGCATGTTGGCGGTGTGCTGTGTGACATTGGTCGGGCATTTTCGAGCGTTTGCTTTTTTCGATCATATCCACCGCGTTTGTGGAGAGCGGTTGTCGTGGTGGTGTGAGGAGGTCTGCTTTGGGAAGAAGGAGTGAGGGGAAGTGTGGGGAGCCACTGATGGGGTTACTTGTTTGGGACGTTGAGGTGGGCTTGTTTGTTACTTTTGTCAACTGCGAGGGTTGTTCTTTGCGGGATCGTGTGAGTTCGCTGAGTTGGAGAGAGTGTTAAGTATGCGAGTTATTGTGGTCGTACTCACGAATACTATGGCGTCTTCTTATGACGTACACGTCGTTGAGGCTCAGTAAGTTGTCCGATGGATGGCTACGTGGTCTTCCGTCTCTGACTTCTTCGACACGTCTCTAGTCCTCGAATTGTTGTGGTTGAGAGTATCAACGTAGTTGCTCATGAAGCGAACAAACATTACTACTATACAGACTGACGATCGAAAGTCTTATACACGAACAAGGAAACACTTATTTATCAAGCACCTTGTTAAGTTTTCTTGATACTGTAGGTGACATGCCTCTCATAAACGACGCAATCCAGCCCAACATCGAGATACTTTCCTGCTGTTAGCAGTAAACCCCTGCACTTCCACACTACCCACCACCAGCGCCTCACACCCCCATCTACTGACCCTGAATCTGCACCGCAACACCCCCCTGAGGAATATACGCAGCCCCAGACACCGTATTATCACCTCTCGTACACCGATCCATGATAACGCCAGCCGACCTTGCGATATCGTTACTAAACCCACGCGTTAGCACTCCATACAAACCATACTAATAACAACCAAGAATAGATGGAAAATTCACTCACCAGTTCACACTCTTAGGAGCATCATCCCGTCCCCTTACACTAACTACATCCGCACTACCCAATCTACACTGCACCCGTGCGGTAAACCCATCAACGTTACACTCCTGGCCCGCATTGCCCCTGCTCGCTAGATCATTGATACAAGCCACGGCGTCGGGCACAGAAGGGGGTCGTTGGGAGAGTTGTTGGCAGTTGCCGAAAGCTTGGCGCTTGTCCAGGTTCGCATCGTCAGTGGAGAGGTCGGGGTTGGGATTGGGGTTTGCGGTATTGAAGGCGGCAATCGCTTCCTCGGGGCTCATGGCATGTGCTGGTTCGGCGATTAGGCTGTCGACCCAGGAGGTCCAGGTGAATTTTGAGCGGGGGAATTTGAGGGCGGTGCTGCTGCCGAGAGTGGCGAGGGTGAGGGTTGTGAGGAGGGTTGAGAGCTTCATTCTGGTGAGGGTTGGATGGGCGCGGGATAAAGGTAGTTAAATGTGATGGAATGGCCGTTGGTGGAATGTAGGCATGTGCAAGCGACGTCCTTCAACCCATTTATACTCATTTCACCTCCCACATCGCCATAGCAATCTGTTTAAACCCTCCTCTCAGGCCTCCAAGGCAACCATATCGTGAAGCTTCCACTCGCACACCGGTGACATTCGGTGTCAGCCCGGGGACCCCTCTGAGTTAATCGGCGAGCATGAGGATAGAGCAGCGATATACTTGCTCATACTAAAGACACCAGACAACCAATGACAAAGGGAACCTGATCGCCGAACACGTAACACAGCCACTGTACCGGTTCTTCAGGCCGCCCATGTGGTAGGATACTCGGAGAATTGAGCGCTGACACTTCGTACTCTCTCGCCATGATGGTACGCTCAAGGCCACCCGTATACAGGGGAGTATGGACCGCAAGTGGAGATGCATGTGTTTTGATTCTGCGATAAGGCCGCACTTCGGAAGACGGCACTGGTGTCGCATGGGAGCCTCATAGGTGTTGGAGGTGAACTAGGGAAGTTGCACAGGTTTGCTACTGGAAGTCAGCCCTGCGACAGTTCGATCGATCTTTGACCTGAATGACGTTGTCTTACGGCAGGTGCGTGAGGGTTTGTGAAAGGGTAGACCATGATGTGATGCGGTCCGAATGTACGGCGGCTTTGAGCAATGTGGGGGCGCTAGTAACGTCTATTTTGTAAGGCACCCTACATCTTCTTCTCTGGGCGCTGGGCAGTGGTCGAACATGTATAGAAGAAAACGCTTTAGATGAATAAATGCGGGGTTTGTCCACCTCAATTTTTGTTCCGCTCACTCCATGGACAGCCCGTCACAACGGAACAAGAAAGACCAGATTTGTCTGCGATATGATGCTAACATCATTTCAATTGATAAGCACAGCGTATACATTACTTTATATGCAGATATGCTTTCCACTATAGCAGCAGCGATGCAACGCCAATATGTGTTGCAATGCAAGTCCCAAACTCCGCGTGTAATGCGTGAATGATAACGGATCCAGAAGAGTACAAAGTGGGTATATAGAAATACAAAGTGTAAGAAAGAGAAGTGAAGTTTAAACGTAACATGGCGATGCAATCAAGCGACTCGGCGTTATTGTGGCGTAGTCATAGTGCGGGAGAGTTGAGAACGTTGTGGCATAGCGTCTTTGCGTAGCTGCCGAACAACGGCTTCGAGCTTTCGTCGTTCTTCTTGTTCCGCCTGTGAATTGTTAGTGATGTGCGAAACAGTCGTGCATGAATATGACTTACCCTCAGCGCCTTCAACCCCTCAGCCGTCCGGTCCCTCATCATCTTCCTAAAGTCTTCTCTCAACATGCGAATACTAGTCGCGCCCATGTCGAGCTGTGCAGCAGCGCCATTTGGCATGCCAGGTCCAGGACTCCTAACCCCGAGCCACTTGACTTTCTCGTCACTGAGCTCGCGCTCAAGAGCCTCCTTTTCGTCGCGCAGCTTGTCGATCTGCGCTTCAAGGACTTCGCGGTCCTTTTCGTTTTGGATGGCGTCACGAGTGAGGGCTTCGTACTCGGCAGCCATGCCGGACAGCTCGGCTTTGAGGTTGCGCTCGGATTGCCGGGCTTCGGCTTCGGATTGTGAGGCAACGTCTTGCACTTTGCGGAGCGCCTCTAGTTCGCCAAGGAGCGCCTGGTTTTGCTCGGTGAGCTCGTCGAGTTCTCGCTTGATGGCCGGGTTGGCGGCGGAGTCGGCGGCACGTTGCGCGCGCGTACCGTAAGCGCCATCAAGCTCTGCCTTAGCGAAAGTGAGTTCGGTTGTGAGACGGACGATCTCGCCTTCAAGGTTGCGGAACTCTTCCTCCTTAGCATTGAGGGAGTTGGTTGCGTCCAAAGAGCGAGCCTCGGCAGCTTGCTTCTCGGCAGTTACGGCTTCGAGAGCAGCTGTAGTCTCTGTGATCTTCTCCATAGAGTTGGCAAGTTGAGCCTGGATCGTTGCCGCCTCGGTACGAGCTTCGTCCTGAGCATCCCGCAACTTGGTCTCTAGCATGAGAGCCCGTTCCTGCGCGTCCCGAACCTGGGCTTCGTAGCCAGCAGTGCGTTGCTCAGCCTCTTGTGATGAGACGTTGTATGCGGTGTTGCGCTCCTGGTGATCCTTTAGCTCTTCCTCGAACGTGGCCGCACGCTTTTCGGCCTCTTGCATTTTGCTCTGGAAGTTTACAGCTTGCTCTTGCACGTCCTTGAGCTGATTCTCGTACGCGACAGCGCGTTGCTTGGCCTGGTTCAGTTCAGTCTCAAATGCCATCACTCGCTCTTGTACGTTGATCAGCTGAGCCTCCAGACCAGCGTTCCGCTCCTGCGTCTCGCGCAAGATCTGTGTGTCAGTCGAGACCTTTTGCTCATCGAATTGCTGTAGCTGTTCCATTGCACGCTCGAGCTCACCCTCCATAGACTTCTTCTCAGATCTCGCGCTGAGCAAATTGGTGTTGAGTCGCTCAAATTCTGCCTCTTTCTGTGCGTCCGACTTGCTGTTCAGTTCACGTTGCTGCTTGATCTGGCGCATCAGGACTGATTGCTTGTCTTTGAGACTAGTCGCTCGCCTGAACAGTAATTGCACCTTTGAAGAGAAGGCAGGAAGAGAGTAGCTCTCGTTGACGTAGTCTTCGTCTGGCGAAACTTGTTCATTGGCATCGGGATCTTCGGCAAGCAACTGGCGTCGTTCACGTTTGCGTTCGCGTGCTTCTTCCTCGCCAGTGAGGATAGTCTGCCAGAGGCCCATGATTGTAGTCTCGTACTTCTCAGCCTTCTCAGCGCTCTCGGACTCATCGACCGCAGGACCCTTGGAACGAAGCTCATTGATTTGCTCATTCATTGCGTACTGGATCTGCTCGAGGTTGTAGAAGGAGTCTTCCATGTAGTTAAGCTGTTCGGTGGCGCCACCGCCAGTGATGGCGGGTGGCGGTGGGATCTTGTCGGACTGTTCGTTTTCGGATCGAGATATTACCGCATACAGTTGGTTGTTCATGCCCTCCAGACGGCCCTCGACTTCGCTCAGAGTATGCCTTGAATTGTTGCGGATGTTGGACTGTTCGGCGGCGATGCTGCGGAGGCCCTGATCGAGGAAATCGAGCTGGCGATCTAGGGTTGACGCGTCGGGCGTTCCTTCAAGCGCCAACGGTGGCAGTGAATAGTCTTCGTCACGCTCGGGGTTCGCCTCGATGATGAGTGATCTCAGACGCTCGTTGATCTCCTGGAGTCGCGTGGCAGTCGCATTCAAGGCTTGGTCGTGACGCTCTGTGGAGGCTGTGAGATGCTTGCCGGTTTGCAGCACGTTCATGAGGTTGTCGAGATTTTCCGGCGTCCTGTAGAAGCTGCGCTCGTCGAAAGCGCCGTTGAGTCTGCCGTCTTCGTAGGTGTTCAGGCTTGCGGGGCTGTCTGGTCTGCGGAAGCGGTCTTCTGACAGTTCAGAGTCGTCTTGACGCTGCTTCGGTCCCTTGTGCGTAAGCTGCAGTACAGCCGCAGTGTGCATCAGGAGTTGCATATCGATCATGCGCATGCGAGACTCTATCTCGAGGCACTCCCGAATGAACTCCTCGACCTTCTTGTTGCTTGACTCCAGCCCTTCCTCTGTCTTGGGGTCGTAGTCCTGCGCGGGATTGCTGCCTTTGCTGCTCTTGCTGCTCTGTCCGCGCTTGTGTCCGTTTGCCTTCTTCGAGGCCAGCCGTCCGAGGGAGCGCGTCGCATCGCGGATCTTCGTCTCCGACTCCAGCTTCCGCCTGACCGTGCCCAGCCGAGTGTCCAGGCTCTTCTGCTCCTGCTTGAGCGCCTCCACCTCCTCGACTGAGAGTATATCGAAATACTGGCTGTCTCCGATTGCCGTCTCAACAAGCAGATGCATAGCCACGGGGTCGGTATTCAGCGCGTCGGAGTTTCGCTTGCCCGAGTTTCGCGGTGTGTAGACGCCATTCTCGCGGATGGTCTCCCTGCGGCCGTCTACGAAGACCTCTGGGGGCGGTATGAAGGCGCTGGCACCGAAGCGCGGGGAGATCTGGTAGGCCATGGGGAAGAAGCTGGGCGAGGCGGTGCCATTGATGCCGGACGGGTAGTTGGACGTGGGCGAGGGAAAGTCATAGAGGGCGCGGGGACTGAGCGTGTCCCCGACGTAGGGGTACTGGGTGCGCAGGCCATTGGCGGTCATGTTTCTGAATCTGAGCGAGCGACGCGGCGACTCGGGGCGTTGGGGGGTGATAAAGGACCGGATGGAGAAGGCGACGGGAGCGCCCAACAGTAATACTCGCGCAGCCAGCGGGGGTGGTGGGCGCGCTCACGGCGAGCAGCTCAACATGGTTGCAATTGGAGAGTTGGCTCAGGAGACGCTACTCTAGCAGTCTGCTCCTAGCACTCGACTGCGCCCGTCAAGGGGTGAATGAGCCACTAGCCGGCGGGAGTTCACGCGTTCATGCGCGCTTGGCAGGCACCGCCCATCCAGACATTCCCCACCATCCCGCGTTCTCGTCCCGTATTCGCTGCGCAGTCCTGACGACACCATATCTGGCGTCTCGTAGCGTGCCCCGCGCGAAATATTTCTCTGCAGTGACTCTAGTGCTGGTGCATCTCGTGCTGAAAGTGCCTCTCCCATCTGATTGCGTCTCAGTTCGCCGCATGCCAAATTCGGATCTGCACTCCGCTATCGATAACGTCCGTGTCAGTCAACAACATGAGCGCACGCGCAACCTACACTAGAGACCAGATAACAAAGTACTTCGACCGCCTGGGGTTGCCGGACCAAAAGAGAAAGTACGATGTAGCCGGCCTGGACCCGGAGAGCGCACTAGAGTACCTCGCACTGCTCCAGAAGCTGCAGCTAGCAGCCGTGCCCTTTGAGAACATCACCCTGCATTATTCGGCCCATCATTCCATCTCTATCCATCCGGAGGAATTATTCAAGAAGATCATTGACGATGACAATGGACGCGGTGGGTA